AAGCAGACCGCTCGTAAATCCACCGGAGGCAAAGCCCCGAGGAAGCAGCTGGCCACCAAGGCTGCCCGTAAGAGCGCCCCGGCCACCGGCGGCGTGAAGAAGCCTCACCGTTACAGGCCCGGTACCGTGGCTCTCAGAGAGATCCGTCGCTACCAGAAATCCACGGAGCTGCTCATCCGCAAGCTGCCCTTCCAGCGCCTGGTCCGAGAAATCGCTCAGGACTTCAAGACCGACCTGCGCTTCCAGAGCTCCGCTGTCATGGCTCTGCAGGAGTCCAGTGAGGCTTACCTGGTGGGCCTGTTTGAGGACACCAACCTGTGCGCCATCCACGCCAAGAGAGTCACCATCATGCCCAAAGACATCCAGCTGGCCCGTCGCATCCGCGGAGAGAGAGCTTAAACTCTGCTGCTGCTCCACAAAGCACAACGGCTCTTTTAAGAGCCACCTCACTCCTCACTCAAGAGCTCACTCCTCTACTCACAACACACGTTTAATATCAATCACAGCAGATCAGTATTTAACTATTTAGTGGATCTTTCTCCTCTACAGCCTGTCTTCCAGAAATCAGTTAATGTAGACTAATCCAACATGTTCACTTTATTTAATGTTTTTATTTCATGCATTTATTTTTCTGTCCCAATAATCAATTGAGACCAGGAGGGAAACATCACTGACTTACTTACGAGTCATGATCCTCTTAAAATAAATTGCCAAGACACCAGCTAAGTATAGTCATAGAGTAAATTAATTTAGAACATGGCACTCTTAAATACGTGATTCTTATTGGTCAGTCAACAAAATTCTGCGGCATTTATTTCTTTGGGCATCTCTGCTGCTCCGTTGCTAGGGACACCATAGCAACGGCCTTAGACTGAGGATCATCATTATCAGCTAACGTTAGTCCACACACACTCACTTCACAATAAACGGAAACGTCCAATTCATTATTAACTATCCACCTTATTTTCAAACACGGAAGTAAATAGTGATCAACTTCCGTTTTTTGTGTGTGACTTCCGGTCAGCTGCTTTCCCTCGTGCTTTCCCTTACCGGAGCTAACGGTGCAAGCTAATTTTTTTTCAATTTTCAGTTGTTTATGTTAGTCAATCAGTTAGTTAGATAGTTAGTCTGTGTATTTTGTATAACGTTAGATAACTGTGCCCACGTTTCCGTTATAACGGAAATTTATTCCCTCTAAACGCGAATAAATCGCACGTCAATCATAAACTATGAACCAAAAAAGCACAATCTATCCCGAGTGAGACAAACTGCTTGATCCCCGTCTCCAGTGTACCAGCAGAGAACCTGCAGAACCGAATCAGCGAAAAAACACACCGGGCTACACAGCCTCTCTACCTGAGCAGCTGAAGCTGCGGCTCGCACCCTCGACACACAGACACACAGACGGTGCTTCTGCATGCCAGCCAAACGTGTGCGCAACTGTGAGAAATAAATATGTGAGGTGTACGCTGCTTTTCTATCTTTTTTTCCCTTTTCTTTCTTTCTTTCTGTCAGCGACATACACTCCTAACACAGGACGGGTTGTTTTAATTGACTGAGTTGATCATTAAGCCATAGTGATGCGCGGATCGGCTCTGATAGCACCTGAATCAGCATGTACGCATCAACCATCCAGCCGTTACAACATGATTGAGCTAGCAAAGCAGTTTTGTGTTGCTATGTGTGGTATTTATTCAGTTTTGGGAAATCACGATGTCTAGAAAGCATCAGTGGCTGCAGCTGACAGGGACAGCTAACGTTAACACTAGCAGCAAAGCTAACATCAGGATCGTCATCCGTTAAAAGCCTCCCGTTGTCGGATACGACATGAAACTACTCCAGTTAGCTCAATCATGTTGTAACTAAGACATCCGCTGGAGAAAATATTTTTTTCACGGGCCACTTTGTGAGTTTAGTGAGTTATTACAGACACGGCTAACGGCTAACAGCTAACGGTTAGCCCAGCTAATCTACGATAACCATGTTATTAATTACACACAGAGAAAATACTAATGTTTGTTCAGTCATTGTGTTTATAGACTTTACAAACATCAGATTAGTCTAAACGGTGATATAGTGACGTGAAAAATGTGATATATACATATATATAGCTAAACTCAGCAAGGTAAACAACAAGGCGATTCCCATTTACACAGTGGTAAGAGTGCTGGACCGGAAGTGTCGCACAAAAAAACGGAAGCTGGCTGCGTTCTGTTTTGCCTCCGTGTTTCCGTGAAAAATAAGGTGGATAATTAGGCTGCCGTTACCAGAGTACAGACCCATTTTCTTTTTGCGAATTTTGAATCAATAAAACGTGTTTTAATCATTATTTTTTGTCACATCACTGAATGTTTTAGTAGTAAGCCATCTTCTAAGAGGGATAATGTATCCCTTCCTTATTTTTCAACACTCACCTGCTATAGATTATCCTGCTTAGAACATGCTATGGCGTCCCTAGCAACAGAGCAACAGAGCAGCAGAGCAGCGGTGATACCTCAAGAAATAAACACTGCAGAATTTTGTTGATTAACCAGTCAGAATCAAGTAGCCTATTTAAGAGTGCCATATTCTAAACTATGTTAAAAAAAAAAAAAAAAATCTTCATGTATTCACAAAAGCATGCAGCTTTGCAATGTTTTTCACATGGACTAATTAAGTCTTTAATGTTTTTCATAATTATAAACATTTTAATTATAATGGCCGCATTTCCCAGTTAAGAGCAATCTTAGGACTTAGAGCGCAGTTAAGAAAGTCTTTGGTAAGAAGGGTCGCTAAGATAAGAGTGTTTCCCAGATGCCTTCTTAATGCCCTTCTTAAGATCGCTCTTTAAGACGCTCTTAACAGGAGCTGACCACTGTGCTAAAACTAAATTAATCGATGTCAGGCACATCGATCACCCACTTCATAGGCACATAAGTCACACACAGCGCTGCTACCTAACGCACTAATTCCCTTCTGCTCGTGTGTATGTGTGTTCTAATAATTCTAATGAAAAACTAAGATGATAAATATTTGTTATTGACCTATTTTCATGACGAAAACAAGACTACAACTAAGCAACGAAGCAGTCTTGGTAAGTGAATCATGAGGAAATGTATTATATTTATTCAAAAATATGAAAGATGGATGAAAGGACAAATGAACTTAAGGACCTGCATTGTATCCTGACCACATTGTATCCTACTTGTATTCATCAACGCTGTGTCTCTGCTAATGATCATCTTAACGTGACCAGTTCACGGAAGGACAAAACTGACAGATTTGTGGACTATATAAATCTACACTGAGAATCAGACAAAACGCCAGGTATAAACTATGAAAACACACAACAGCATGTTGACAGTTGTAAAAGAGTTAATGTGACATATATGTGCAGATGTGTGAAAACACACAGCTGCTACCCGAAGCACTAATTCCCTGCTGCGCGTGTGTATAATTACAGGTAACAGGTGTATCCAAGTAGCAATGACATAGGCAGATATAAAATGACCTGTGGGTATTGGTGCACACATTAAGACAGAATAGCAGAAGCAGGGCACAAGCAGGCCAAGTGATCACCTGCATTCAACCTAGAGGAGATGACCATCCTGGTGGGTGAAGTATGGCAGCAGCGGGACACACTCTTCGGCAGAACAAAAGGGGGGGGGGGATTAGTGGCCAAGAACCGCAGTTGGCACGACATTGCTGAAAAAATGGCTGCCTCCAGCCCCTGCGGCCTGCAAGACTGGATGGTGGTGAGAAAGAAGTGGCAGGAGTTTCAGAGCCAAAAGAAAAAGAGGACTGCAAGTGCCAGGCAAGAGAGCCAGGACACAGGTGGTGGCATACCTGGCGACACTACCCTCACCCCTGACAAGGAAAGGGTCATGTCAATAATTGGCAAGACCCCCTCTGAGGGCATCAAGGGGGAGGGCCTCTCGTCCCACAGTGACTCAGGTGAGGATGAGCCATCTGGGAGCGGGGCCAGAGCAGCTCAACCAACCTCCCTGCCCTTCAGCATCAGCCTCCCCGACGAACACACCCTGCACACTCTCAAGCTCAAGGCCTGTCCCTGTGTGCCAACCCGTACCAGCAAGGCCCGGCGTCCACATGCGGGGTGGCCCCACCCGGCGGCCCTCTATTACCACCTGCACCTGCACAACCTCCCTTCATTGCAGGTGATGCAGAACCCATGTAATGGGAGGGGTCCCACCACTTTAGGCTATCTTATGTTTGAATAAACTTGTTTTCTTTTTCAACCATGTGTTGTGTGAATCATTGCACATTATAAAGTAAGAGTATCAAATCTACACACAGATGATCCCAGGGAATTGATATAATTTCATGATTTATTCCTAAAGACTACTCTTGACATATGTAAAGCGAACACTTTTGCACTTGCACTGAACAGATTGCAGATGTTTTACATTATAAAAAATAAACCTGTATGTTGGCACCTACATCCTATCGGACTCAAACTTTGCTTTTGGGCACTTAATTATGATGTTTTCTTCTAACTAGATCTTGCTTTTGTTGTATTAACACTCAGATATGCGTCGCTTTGGATAAAAGCGTCTGCTAAATGAAATTGTAACATTGTAAAGTGTGCGTAATGTGCGCCTCAAGCATGACGCACGTACCTCTTCCAGCCTGATGTGCACAGCACATACAGGAACACACTTGTTATTCCTCATTCTTATTTTTCTTCTGCCAGATTTCGGTTCGTAACTTGTGCCAAAGCTTTGAGCGCACACAGGGTCTTCATAAAACATATAGATTCAAGATTCAATATGCACAGTCAGGACACACGTTTCCCTGCAGAATAAAATTTGTTCTTTTCTGTCACCAATTAATGCTGAACAATATAAATCTGAAGTATAAAATAGATCAAAATATATACTGTGCGCACTGTCTTAACATCTCCTTGCTCAGTGTAATATTAATGTGCCTGCCACGGCTGGATCTGTGATCGTTTGGTCGCTAAGAAGGCTGTTAAGAGTGGGTCAGCTCGATCTTATAACTACTTCTTAGTGAAAGATCTTCTTAGCGCTAAGAGCGATCTGGGAAACGCGTTTTTTTGTTTGTTTTTTTTTCCCACAGGAGGTTTAAGAGCCTTCTTAAGAAGCTCTTAGCGCTAAGAGCGATCTGGGAAAAGCAGCCAATTCCTATGTATCATGACAGTGATGTTTTCATTTTGTTTGTTTTTTGCTTCTTGCCTTTACTTCTACAGAAGATGAAAACTTTTACTTTCTGTTTTTTTTTTTCTTTTTAGTCTCCCATTTGGTTTTATTTTTTCTTCATGTAATTTTCATCTTATAATTTTGCTTTAGAATTCAATTTAAATGACTTTAAGTGTGAACATTTCTTCTTTGTTTTAAAGCTCTCACAGACCCATTGCTACACCCACACAGTGGAAACTTGGAGGTTTGGGACAGACAAGATGAAACTTCATCATGCTTATCAGATGTAACCATGTTGTGACTTTCTGAGCTCCAAGAATTTTTACTCTGACTGAAAGCACAAATATGGAGCTACACCAAAAACTCAAACACATCATACAATATGCACACACAACTGGGTAGTAATGGGAGGCTTCTATTGGCTAACAGATTTTAGATATAAAGATATTATCAAAATATTTCATCGTTACATTTTAGAAAGACTTACAAACGTTTGAATGAGGATACTTTTGAGAGTAACATTTTATTTTCCCATGATTCAAAATAGGAGGGTTTTGGGGTTTTTTTCAAAGTAGATCCAAATTTATTTCCATTACTTTACCGACTTATATTATAGGCTAATAAGTTGTCATGAAATATTAGCAATGTGTGTCACTACAAACCATAAATACCTTGCATGTGTGTGTTTTGTATCATATCAAGGTTTCTAAAGTGACATAATATATAGTGGCAGACGTTGTTATCTGGAGGTGTAGAGGATGGTGGATGGCATGACACTTCAGCAAGACACCCATCAAGCTACGGACCACCAACAACAAACTAAAAACCAACACCAGTTGTCTTTTTGGAGACACGTAGTGACATGTTCACCAGTGTTTGTGGCAGCAGTTGTAGTTGTTTTACTCTTACATCACAGCGTTTCCCACCACCAAACCTAGGGCTAGGCTGACCTGAACCTCGGTGTACCAAGTGATATTTGTGCCTAAACATTATTTAGATATTTAACATTAAGTTTCCAAAAACCTCTGTTTTTTAAATCATTACCCCCACACAGGACAGAGGCTTCCATTACTAAATGATCAGAATAATCAGTCACTGCTGTAACATATTCAAGCTATCAAATGTAAGAAGACATGTTTATTCTAGTTTTTGTTTTAGAGTCCAAACAGCTTAGGTGGATGATGTGAGGATTTAAAATCCTCTACAGATCAGAAAGAGAAGCTTTTGAACAGATGTTAACTAATGATTTTCTTCTTGTGTGAACTGAAAAGGAGTAGCATTAATTATATTATTTAGCCTGTATCAGGGTATATATCATTTATTATTGAAATAGCTAAATAATTTTATATTTTCACCCGACGCCGACTATTTCTTTTAACTTTTTAAGTAACGGGATTTTCTTTCTTCTTTCTCCCCTCACCCACCCACTGTATTGTTCCTCAGCTTCGGAAGCTGACCAATCCTGTGTGAGCGACAACGCAGTCTTATTTGCATCAGGGGGATACAAATTGACCGTTCTGCATAAATAAACTCCATTCGTTTTGGGAGAAACGTACCGTCGTCATCATGCCTGAAACCACCGTGAAAGCGCCCAAGAAGGGCTCAAAGAAAGCCGTGTCTAAAAGTGTCAGTAAGAGCGGGAAGAAGAAGAGAAGGACCAGGAGGGAGAGCTACGCCATCTACGTGTACAAAGTGCTGAAGCAGGTCCACCCCGACACCGGCATCTCGTCCAAAGCTATGGGCATCATGAACTCGTTTGTGAGCGACATCTTTGAGCGCATCGCCGGTGAGGCCTCCCGTCTGGCTCACTACAACAAGCGCTCCACCATCACTTCCAGGGAGATCCAGACCGCCGTCCGCCTGCTGCTGCCCGGTGAGCTGGCCAAGCACGCCGTGTCTGAGGGCACCAAGGCCGTCACCAAGTACACCAGCTCCAAGTAAATTGTCCTTCCGCTTCCTATATCAACCCAACGGCTCTTTTAAGAGCCACCCACTTTATCTGAAGACTTTCTAAAATGCTTACTGTGTATTAATGATCAGACGTTTACGACTAAAATAATGTAAAGCACCATAGAAAAATGAGACCATAATCAGCATGTTCTGTGTTTATCTTTATGTGTATTGTTACAAACCCCATACTTTTAATACTGAGCCATTACTGATTTGATTTTTTTTTTTTTTTTTTTTATTTAAATGAAAACAAATGGTCGGATTAAATATAAAATTAAGCTATTTAAATAATAAATGATGTATACCCTAATATAATTAATCAGGGCTGGACTGGGACAAAAAATCGGCCCGGGCATCTTGAGCCTAGTCCGGCCCACCAGGTATTGATGGAAAGACAATGAAGCCTATGAATAAAAACAAACTTTCATGTGACACCACTTGTACACTGTCTTGTTGGTCTATATGTACTTGTCTAATAAATTTAAACCTACACCATCCTCCCAGTCCCATTATTCTATAAGTACTTACTTAGAGGAACCCAAAAGGCTGCTTGGTCTAGTGAACCTCCTGAACAATGAACGTATGATGGGATCCTGAAAATTGGACAGTGAGGAAAAGAGGTGAGAAATGATCATTGATGAATATTAAAATGAATAAATGACAGATTTAGTAATATTTTCATAGACTATGTACTTACCACATCAATAAACAGCATAGCAACACATAATACTTCCTCAAACATGGCAACCTTTAAAAAGTGAAGGCATATTTTAAATTGAATGGAAACATGCCCACAATAAAAACAAAATACAGGTAATTATTGTCCACAAGAGTTTGCTGTTACATGTCAGTAAAAAAACCAATAAGATAAAAACACAACATATCTAGAATAAAGAGGATATTTATGTATAAAAGACAAATACATTTAAGTAGTTACTTTTAACTCCAAGCCACTTTCATGTTAATGGGCAGCATCACATCTCCTGGCAAATCCTAATTTGATTCAATCTAAATTATATCTGCAAGTGTAGAGGGTGTATAATGAACTAGCCTAATCATCTGGTTTTACATGAACATTTTTGCTCTGTTGAGCTTTAGCTGTTTCAGAGTAAAGAATTACTGCATAATGCACTTATATCAATTAATAGACATTGAAATATTTAACTACCTAACTAATAAAGACTATACTTAACTAACTAAATGAATAAAATAAAGTTACTGAAGCACTAAGATCACCATCACTAGTATAACATCATAGAGACAGCCCAGCAGTAGAGAAACCCCGTCATGCTGCTCAACAGCCAGCTAAATTGTTAAATGACCTACTCATAGCCTAACTATGCTGTGTTAAGAGTTAGCAAGCACAACGAAAATAAACTATCAACCAAACTTGATTCATATCTGACCCAGGTAGACTGCAGTTCATCACTTCTTACCTGAAGTTCAAATTCCCCTCCAGTCGCACCGACTGTGCCGTCGTCATATAATGCGGCGGCCGCAGGTCTCCTCCTCCTGCCTCCCCTTCGCCTCATCCACCTGCTGACGGCCGCCTCTGCCATCATCACCTGCTGCGGCTGCTTTGGATGCCAGTGCGGGTGCGGTCACTGATGCTGCCGCTGAAGAAGCTCCGCCATAGCCAGCAAACATCTGTGTTATTTTAACACATTTGGCAGCATCTTCCTAAAGGACTTGTCTCTTTTTCTCTCTTATTTTTTCCGCACCTCCTTTGAGTTTCTTCTCAATTTTGTCAATCTCCTCTCTCTCTGTATGATTGATTGACTGGCAGCTGAGGCCCAAGTGGGAGGGGGCATCGGCCCTCGGCTGTAATTGGTCCAGCCCAGAATCAATCATGACTAATGGGCCGATCTACCAGTTTTGTGTACCAATAGATATCATGACATGACTAAAAAAAAAAAAAAAAAAAAAAAAGGCCCGGCCGACCGGGCAAATGCCCGGTGGGCCGATGCTCTGTAATTAATGCCCTGTAATTAATGCCACTCCTTTTCAATTTACACAAGAAGGAAATCATTAGTTAACTTCTATTTCATATAGGCGTAGCCCTTTAAGAGCTGTCGCTATTGGGTTTATCTCCGTGCGCATGCACAGTCATGAAGATTTTCTTTGGCGCCACTTACCCCTTTTCCACCAAAGCAGTTCCAGTGCTGGTTCGGGACCAGTGCTGGTGCTGGTTCTCAGTTGGTTCAACTTGCGAACCAGCTGAGAACCAATTTGCTTTTCCACGGCTCGAGGTGGTGTCATTGCGTCACTGTATACGTCAGTTATGTCGAACAACAACAAAGATGGCGGACCAGGTACTTGTGTAGCTGTTACTCCTGGCACTTCAAGGCTTCATCTGCATCCAAACACGGCAGATACGTCGTATTTGTGCTGCTCAAAAAGATTTGTATGGACGGCAATTACGTTCCAGAAGATAGGTAATCACCGAACACGGTTTGTCTCTTACTAACACTGAGATTGTTATGTTAGCCTTTGTTGTAAGCTAACGTTAGCTGGCAGAGCACAGCTAATTCACAATGCAAATTATGTGTAACATTATGTGTACTTATTTAGACAACTGAGGGCTAGTTTATTGTAGTTTCAGCTGGACAAAAGAGGATGCTTAGTTCTGTGAAATGAACTCTGGCACCAGTGAACTATGGCATCAATAGAATGTAATAAACTCAATAGAATGATATATTACACTTCAAATGTGCTGTACATTTCCTTATACATTAAATGTACAGCACATTCACATGCTATGAATGCAGATCTGCAAGACCCTGTATGTATCTGCACATACAACCATTTATGTACAGACACGCATGCGCATACACATTTATTTTTCAATACAAGCAAAACTTTATTAAATGAAACCTACCATTCAAATGTTTGTTTTATTTAGTTCTGGTTGTGTATGCTGCACATGTTATGGCTGCTACTCTCCATTGTTTCTGCTGTTTTGTTGCTGCTTACCTGATTCTTACCTGTGTTTGCTGGACTAATTCATGTCACCATATTGTTTCAACCGTCAGTTCAGTAAATTCATAGAAATGATTATGGCTGTCATGTTCTCATTTCTTTATAAACAGTGACTGAAATCTATCATCTATGAAAAGCATCTTCATAAATGGGTAACCTGTTGAGTTCTTGACTTGTTTTTACTAGCTTTACTTGCTTGAACTTATTACACAGTTAAATTGTACATTATTAAGTGAAAACATACAGAAGCAGACGTGTCTCTTTAGAAAGGAATTTATTTAAATACAAAAAGGCTTGGGCCTCCATCACAGATACCATGCGCCCCATCAGTCCAAGAAACACACTGGTGTCAGTCTCCAGCTTCTGCAGCAAGGCATCATTCAGGTCCTTAATGTGTTGCAAGAACCTCTTGTCTGCCCTCTCCAGGTATTCAAGCAGTTTTGTGTTGCTGTCTCTCTTCCTCTTCCCTGTGTACAAGAATAGAAGAATCAGTTTAAAAGTTTTTCATTATTTCATAAGTAGATAAACACAGGTTCAGCAGTACAATGTCACAAATGTGTCAGCTCAACAATCAGCACTAGTCTTACGACACAGTATACAGACCTCACACCATATGGAAATGAGGATATGGGTATAAAAGTAACAGTGACAATTGTGCATAGTATTGCTGATTGGAGTATGTAGCTGTCCTGGTTCAGTGGCAGCAGTCATGGGTGGTAGGGGATTGTGTATGAATGATTGTTCATTTATCACAGCACATACTTATATTATCAGGTCATACTTTTAGGTATGTCTCCATGTTTGCATAGTGTCTGGTGAGACAAACTACTGGATAAACAGTACAACAACTCTTACCTGGTCTGGTGGCTTTGACCTGAGCTGCTGGATGGTGTTGGAGAGCAGCAGTGGAGTAGCGACATTAGCTCCAAGTTAGCATCGTCTTGTTCGAAGGCAGAAAACTCTGTAGACCACATGAAAAACAGCGCTTTAAACAGTGACTTGTCCACTACACATTATACAATGTTTAGCCAACTGAATGTGGAGCTGGTAGGTGAGCCCATGGCTAAGTAACTTGCTAACGTTAGGTAATGTTAGCAAGGCTAACCTGTTGATCAGTTAACATTAAGCCAAGCAGACATCCCGGAGATCGGGAAGGCTATGTCAGCTATTCTGATCCTTTCCACGGCAACGACGGTGCCACTCGGATCATGGCTTGGCAAACGATGCTGCAACGGAACATGTAGCTCCATATGTCCCAGCTCCCGGCGCAGATCAGCGGGGAGCTTCTGGGCCGCTCCTCCAGAGCGCCACTGCCCACCTTCAGAATGCTTCTGAGGAAGCAGACAGAGTGAGGAGACACACCTCGTGGAGCAGAGCTGTGCCATGCCCTCAGCGACCTCAAGGCTCCTGGCGCAACCGCCGGGACGCACGCTCCAGACAGAGGGCATTGTCAGGGTTTTGGATTACTAATAAACTTTGCCAAATTTCTCGATATGAGAGCAGCTCCATCCAAAGTGGGATGAATGCCGTCTTGCCAGTGGTTAATGAAACCCACATTGTTTGCTGGACACCACCTGGACAGCCAGCGATCAAATGATGACATGCGGCTAAACATGTCATCAGTGGTCAGATTTGGGAGGGGTCCAGAGAAAACTACGGAGTCTGACAGTTTTTGCATATTCACACGCCGAGGCAATATTAATTTTAGTGACCTCCGATTGGCATAACCGGGTGTCATTGCCGCCAACGTGAATAACGATCTTACTAAATCTATGATTAGCTTTAGCCAGCAGTTTTAAATTTGATTCAATGTCGCCCGCTCTGGCCCCAGGGATACATTTGACTATGGCCGCTGGTGTTGCTAACTTCACGTTCCTCAGAATAGAGCTGCCAATAACCAAAGTTTTATCCACAGCGGGTGTGTCGCTGAGTGGGGAAAAGAGGTTAGAAACGTGAACAGGCTGGTGGTGAACCGTGGGCTTCGGCTTGAAGTTACGCTTCTCCCGGACAGTTACCCAGCCTCCCGGCTGCACAGGGGTTACCGGAGGCCCGCTAGCAGAGGCTATGCTATGTGGCTCCGCACCGGCTACAGGGGACTGGCTAACTACCGCAGCTACCTAGTGGTTTTCCATGGTGCAGAACCGCGCTTCTAATTCACTGAGCCT